GGCCCGCGGCCCCGGGCCCGGCCCATCGCCGTCGGCTCCTCAGCGCCGTCTTCTCTACGGCTGCGCGGGCAGCGACTCGGAGTGCTCGGCTGGGCGCCTGGGGCCCCTTGGACGCCGGGGGCCCACAGGCGGCGTTGGCGGCGGCTATGGGGAGAGTGAATCGAGCGCCAGCGAGGGGGAGTCGCCGGCCTTCAGCTCCGCATCCAGCGACTCAGACGGCAGCGGTGGCCTGGTGTGGCCGCAGCAGCTGGTGGCGGCCACCGCAGCCTCTGGGGCAGCGGGTGGTGCAGGTGGAGGGGCGCCGGCGGGCCCCGCCAAAGTCTTTGTGAAGATCAAGGCTTCCCACGCACTCAAGAAAAAGATACTGCGTTTCCGTTCGGGTTCTCTCAAGGTCATGACTACCGTGTGAGTTTGGGAGTTTGCTCGGGCTCCCCCTTCATGGCCTCTGCACCACCACACTCCCAGTCACCGACCCTTCCATACCTCCCTTCCAAAGACCACCATTTTCTCTGCTTCCAAAGACCCTTCCTCACTGCCCCCCATCCACTGCAAGTCTTGGTTGAAAAGGCTCCCCCTCCACCATAGGGAGGAATGGGGGAGGAGCCCTGTTTGACCCAGTTCAGCTGCTGGCTCTGCAGCCTATGGGCAAGAAAGTTCCCTTTGTCTGGGCCTCACTTTCCTCATCTGTACTATGGTGTACTATGGTATGCAGAAGGGGTAATTCAGTTTGAATTTCCCCATTTTAGTTTAGACACTTAGTCCGTTTGTTCCCGTTCACTTCTGTCACTGAACCCTCTTACTCCTCCTTTCCATGCCCAGATACGGTGTCCTTCCCCACCCCCCATTCACAAAGTGCCCCCGTCCATGTCCCTGGATTCTTAGGATATCCCCTTGGCACCATGGTCAGAGATTCTGTGTCTGAGCCAGGTGGTGCTTGCAGAGTGCCCTGGGAAAGGAAGGAGCACTGACTCTGGGGTTTTGAGGGTCAAGTAGGAGGTGGTAACACCTGGAAAGAAACACTCTTTCACCTCTATCCCTGGACAATTATGGCGGATTAGGAGGTAGAAGAGGGGAAGGAAGATGGCTTCTATCTCGTGCCCCCTTTCTCCCCAGCTGAGGGAGTTCAGGGAGCCCAGGAAGACCCTCAACTGTTCCAATCCAGTATTTTTTTCTTTTTTAAAATTACTGTATTTATTATGACGATGGTGACTCCCCAGTGCACAGGGGGGCCAGACTGTGTGTTTCTCTAACCTCTTTGTAAATAAATGCACAATGTTACATATGTGGTGGACTCTTCTTCTGTGGTAAAATGGGAGACATGATTTTCTTTTGGACTAACATTTAGTGAGCGACTACTGTTTGCTTTGAATATAGTAATGTCCAGAACCAGATGGCAGATCTCAGGGTGGGTCTCCACCTAGTTTTCCTATGATCAGCTGTTTTACTACAAGGAATCTGACCTCTGATTGAGTTGTATTTGGGCATGAACATTGTTTCATAAAAATATAGGTAAAGGGACAACCCCAGATCCCTTCTCAGAAGTTATCATAATCAGTTTGATGTGTCCTTGCCTGTTTTCCTTTATGCATTTGCATACATATATTAATCTAAGTAACTATACAAATACATAACTATTGGGCGCCTGGGTGGCTCAGTCGTTAAGCGTCTGCCTTCGGCTCAGGTCATGATCCCAGGGTCCTGGGATCGAGTCCCGCATCGGGCTC